TGTTAGCCAGGATGGTCTCGATCTCCTAACCTAGTGATCCGCCCGTCTCGGCCTCCCAAAGTGCTGGGATTACAGACTTGAGCCACTGCGCCCGGCCTTAAAATATTATTGTTAAATAAAGTGTTATCTTTGGGAAATAACTGAGTGACAGGTAAACAGGAACTCTGTAATATTCTTACAACTTTTTATGAGTCTAAAGCTATTTCAAAAAAAGCTTTTTTACTGCAGGGCACAGTGGCCCATGCCTGTAATCCCAGCACTTTGGGAGGCCGAGGCAGGATGATCACTTGAGCCCAGGAGTTTGAGACCAGACTGGACAACAATACCCCATCTATACAAAAACTAATTTTAAAAAATTAGCCATCATGGTGGTGAAAGCCCTGTAGTCCCAGGTACATAAGGAGCTGAGGCAGTACTGCTTGAGCCCAGGAGTCTAAGATTACAGTAAACTATAATCGCACCACTATACTCGGGACTAGGCAACAGAACAAGATCCTGTCTCTTAAAAAAAAAAAAAAAAAAGAGGTAAGTTAGTCAAATGAAAAATGAAGAAGGCTATTATTTACCAGAATTTATATACACCTTAATGTTGCAATGTATCTAGCATTTTTCTAAGGTAATAACATCTATATCTCTATTTTAGAAACATTTTACAACTCTGTTCTTTAAAATACGACAGACGTAAGTTCTCAGTGGTTCAGTATAAAGTTTTAGGCATAGCAGAAGAGAAAATTCTGGATGAGAAAAATAAGTCTTGTATTATTAATTACCTTTCTAGGAGAGCAAACTATAAGGAACAATATATAAATTCTAATGGAAGACATGATATAGGTAATAGATCCAAGAGATAATCCAGACCACCATTAGGCTCAATTCTCTTATGACCACCACACTGAGACAATTTTTGAGTCATGACAAGTAAGTAATGAATTTTTATTAGCATCTTTTCAATTCTACAAATTTTAAAAGTCATTATACATTTTTAAAGGTTACTAAAAATTACTGAACTATGTCTCCACTTAAAATGGAATCAAAGTAATTTATATAATTTTCACCTTTAATATTCATAATTTTTTATTTAAAAGTAGAATAAATTTTAACTCTAAAAAGATTGTTACATCTTTTTAGAATTGAAATTACATTTCAATGAGTGTAGCTCCGCTGTAGTTCATGAGGTTTATAGTTAAGAAATATTTAATTAAGTAAACGAATTCATTTATACCAAACCAAAACAAACCAAAAAAAATGTGTATGTATAATGAGACAGTTTATATATGGTAATTACAGATTTGAAATTAAGTCCCCTTTGCAAAGATCAGTGCATCTGGACTGGTTAATCCAATAAATTATCATCTTCGAATAAGAAACAAAAAACAAAAATGACACTTTGGAAAGAAAAATAATAGTTTCAAAATGAAAGTTACTCTTCCCCTTATTTTAAAATACATAAAATTTTCTAAAATGCAAAATGGAAAGGTTTAATACACAGGAAAAACACTGCATACCTTAACTAAACAAACTAGAAAGAAAATATATTTATATACAGAACTAAGATGAATCCATGCATTATTTTTACAAATATTCACATAGATGGTTTAGAGATAAGTAATTAAGTGTGTCTCATTAACTAATGGATGCTTTCTAGCCTCTGTCTTCATTAATTTTATTTTCTATTCAACAAAAAATAATGCTTTCAGAATATATTACATATACAGCAATATCATTTTTATCAGTAATTTGTCTGAAAAAGAGAAAAACTTAAAGCAGAAGCCTACAAAGCAAAGCAAAGTACAAAGCAAAGAGTAATCACAATGTTTGCAAAATAGAAATGTGTGACTTTAACTTTATAGCAGGCTGCCTAATTAATCCAGACAGTAGAGAAAGCAGACTGAGGCAGGAAGTAAGAGGTAGGACTAAACTGTTAAGAAGATAATCATTTAAAATAAAACTTTAGAATCCTTATTCTAGGAATTCCTTTAATTCTACTTTGCAACTTTTAATAGGTATACTAATTTACACAGGACACACTACCATTTACTATGTAACTTTAAAGCGTTCAGTTAAGAAACTGGTCACCAATGAGGTGAGAGGCACCAGGGGAAAAAGCCAACCTGCTGAGGACGACAAAAGAGGGGAAAGACGGAAGCTGGATCTTTTCTAATGTAGTTTAGCCACTATACTGATTCTGGAACCATCTACCTCTACACTTCCTGCTATGAGAAATAATGTCTTTGTCTTTAAATGTCTTTTTTAAAAAAAAAAGAAAGAAAAGAAAACTGGTCAAAAAGTTTCACATAAGATTCGTTTAAAAATCTTTTTTTTTCCTTAGAACAAAAATGGTTAAAAACTTGGGTCTTCTAAAGAAACTTGTATTAATATGAAGCTACGAAGATACACAAAGCTGAAGTATCTGAAACCATTTGGCTGCCTGTAGTCTTCAGCAAGATCACAAAGTACTCAAAAATTCTTTGACCTGAGGAAAGGAAGAAAAAAAAAATCAGTATAATTCCTTGACTAATTTGAGGTATCTGATATTCCTCTTCATTTAAAAATATATAATAGTTGAAGACCCCAGCCGTATAAGTAACTATCACAATGCCATTGCATTTACTTTCCAAAGAAATATTGTTAAGGCCGGGCCCAGTGGCTCATGCCTGTAATCCCAGTGCTTTGGGAGGCCGAGGTGGGTGGATCACTTAAGGTCAGGAGTTTCAGACCAGACTGGCCAACATGGTGAAACCCCCCATCTCTACTAAAAACACAAAAATTAGCTAGGCATGGAGCGTGCACTTGATATCCCACCTACTTGGGAGTCTGAGGCAGAATTGGTTAAACCTGGGAGAAGGAGATGGCAGTGAGCCAAGATTGTGCCACTGCACTCCAGCCCAGGCGACGCAGCAAGACTGTCTCAAAAAAAAAAAAAAAAAAAAGAAAGAAATATTGTTAAATACTTCAGTAGTAAAAGATGAATGACCTAAAAGGTCATTTTAGGAGTTACTTACTGCTCTGTCACCCAGGCTGAGTACAGTGATGCAATCAAAGCTGACTGCAGCCTTGAACTCCTGGCTAGGTGCACACCATCATGTCTGGCTAGTTTTTGTTTGTTTTTTTATAGAGATGAGGTCTCACTATGTTGCCCAGGCTGGTCAGGAACTCCTGGGCTCAAGCAGTCTTCCCACCTCAGCCTCCCAAAGTGCTGGGATTACAGGTGTGAGCCACTGCATCTATCAATTTTAGATACAGTTGTAAAATAGCTGTAACACCAATTTTATAATCTCTTTGTTTAATATCATAGACCATTGACATATGCAGCTTTAACACTGATAACATTAATAAGCACAAAAGTTCAAGCAACTCTGAAGATCAAACATGTAGTAGATTTGTCATGTTTCTGAAGCACATATGTGAATCATACTCTGCAATGTCAGTGTGTGGGGAAAATCATATAAGGAGTCAATGAACCTAGCCAATTGACCATAATGTAAGAATATGCTTGTTCTCCACATATTCTAGGCTACTCAATAATTCTCAAGAGACAAAGATTACTGTCTTGTAAAAATACCTTAAAAAGAAAGTCAACTGCTAACATTATTAATAAAAGTAAAATATAATAATGTGAAATGATTCTTAGTCAAAACAAAGAAGTGTTAGATAAAATTAAAAAGTGATTTACAAAGTCAGTTAAATTGATGGTTGGCTGTTAATACTTAATGCTGACTTAATTTCATTTAATAGTATTATAAGTTAATTTATCCTATATTTTTAACATCATTAATAGTATGAAGAGGTCACTGGAATTTTCCAGATAAGCTTCAGTTCATATCATGGGAAAAACAACTACATGTATACGCTATGGTAGTTATATAAAACAGTCAAGATTTTCAAAATCCTTATTATATCCCTTATGAATGTCAAGTCTCTATTAAACAGTAGACATTATGTCACAAAAGAAAGGAAAAATCAAATTTCTCTCAAAACTAAACCAAATTGTGGTTTCTTCTTTATAGCTTAATCACTGAGTTATCAACATGGGTATAGGGATATTTGTTATACAAATTCCCTTACTATTCTCTCTCAAATCTTCATCAATAAATTCTCGCCCAGTCCCTTTATCAAGGGGCACCACTCACTTAACAGAATATGGTCAACTTCCAGTGATTTGAGCGATAAATACACTGTGATTAAGACAATGACTCAATGATTACGCAATGTCAATTAATCCTTGACATGATCCCAAATGAAACTGAAAACTAAAACCCTCAATCTCAAGACTTTAGCCAACGTAAAAATGGATGAGATCCATATCCTACAACTTTAAATATCCTCCATATTGAATTTAGTTGAAAAAGATAAATTTAACTTCACAAGCAGTTTATTATTAAAGTATCTAAAGATTGGTGGTGTAGGGAAGAGAGGAACAAATGGGGACAAAGCAGAGAAAAAGGGGGTGAGAAAGAACTTTTGTTATTATGATTATCCCTATCCTACAGATAGAGGCACTGAAGGATTAAAAAACAATCCTTGTTTTATTTTTATTTATTTAACTTTTTTCTAAAACATCTGTCAGATTCTGAGATTCCGAAGGATCCTTATTTTAACTCAGGCCACAAAGCTAGAATTTAGTCAGGACTGGAATCTAAACAGTCCAAAATCTTCTAAAGCTCTTAACTGTTTCTTAATGTAACTTTATGGAACGTTTTCTGTTAGAAAATTGTTTTCTCACAAGTCAGTACACTTTTTTAGAAAAAACAAATATTTGTTTGTAGTCTGTCTAAATCTACCTTTTCAACCAGACTTTCATGTTTGTCTTTAAAGTCTTCATTAACATCCAGTATTAAGATAGGCACCTCTTGAAGATAATCGAAGTCGGTTCTGTTTAAAAAGAGAGATTAATAAAATAATCAGAAATGTAAAAAAAAAAGAGAGAGAAACATTAAAAATTCATTCGTATGTCCTCGGAAAATCAAAATGTTGTCAATCATTTACACTAAAGTTACTCTGCAATACTTCATCTGGCAGCCCCTTCTTTCTCATTTAGATTTACCACATGGAGCCAAAAAACTCGGGTACAAATATATAAAGCTGGGTACTGTAACATATGATTCTCTTCAAAATCGAAAAACAGATAATAAAGGAGGAATTTCTGCATTTTAAAGATGAGAAAACTAAAGTTCAGAATTGTCATTCTGAAGCTCAGAGGCTATCCAAGGTCACACACCAATAAGTAAGACTGGACTTGAGCCAAGATCTGACTAATAACAAAGTCTATCCTCTCAACAACCATGCTATACAATGTCCCAAGTCAAAATTCTTTCTGAAAGAGTAACTAAATAATGTACAGATATATTTCCTACTTTATCACTTAAAGTGAAATTTCATATATTATACTATCAATACCACCAAGGGATACTAGTTATAAAAACTTTAAGGAAATAGGATCTCATTGCAATCAACAGAATCAAAATCTATACCTAGTTCTGAAAGATACCAATAAGCAAAATGACTGAAAATTTTACATGTTGCTAGTCATATCTTCCAAATTTTAGATTAAAATCTAACAAAGGTATTTAAAATGAATAGTAAATAAAAATAAAGAAGTCTTACTTCAGTGTCCTATGCAGGAGCCAGCTTTCGTGTTTATAATGAAGCTTCTCTAAATATTCAAGAGGAATGCCTTGCTCTTCATTTCTTCCCCGTAAATATATTCTATGTAAGCATTTCTAAAAGCAAGTAATAAGAGATGGAAGAAAAAGGCAGTGAACAATTATTCTTGTCTGCTGCCATCAAAATTTTCTTTTCTGTGTCTCTCTACTCATGCTAGCCAAAATCTCTACTTATTACTTCTTAAAAGTTGAAATAATTCATTTTTCCCTCCATGAGCTTTTCAGCCACTTGGTGGCTCTAAGCCAAGTGGTACTTTCAAAAATAAGTTAAAATAAGTCTATAAATTTTTGGTATCCACACATGAAATACACTGAGTTTGATAAAAAGGAGAAAAAAACTAAACATCTACTTAAAATGTTCAGAGACAACAGCTAAAAGGTATGCCAATCTATAAACACAATCTTACTTTGCTGTTAACCAAACTTGACTATAAAATATCTATGTTCAGTTCACATAAAACCACTAAAGGCAGTGGTTCTTAATGTGATGAAAACTCTATACCAGCACAACCAAAACAACTTTGGAATGATTTATGCCTGTCCTATATCTGCATTATCAAATAAGGTAGCCACTAGCTACCTGTGGTTTTTAAGCACTTGAAATACGGCTAGTGTGATGACCAAGGAACTAAATTTCTAAATTTTAATAACCCTAAATTTAAATAGCCACATTGGACAGTGCAGCTCTAGATTATGTTCCCCAAAAGCACACATACATAAAAAATTTTGTATAATTTGTGGGGGCTTATAGACCCTGAGAAACTCTTCATGCATTCCAAGAAATAAAAGCCTCCAACCTAAATGACATGCATAAGACCATCGCAGCATACAAACTGTGTTTCAAACTCTAAATTCTCTTTTCAACAATTAATCCTTTCATCAAAAGATATCAGAAACAATACTGATGAAATTATCAGTATTAAAATGAAATTATTAGTATTCTTTGTTTTTTGGTGTTTGTACTATTTTCATAACTTTAAGAAACCTTTTCAAAAATAAAAGAATTTCAAAATTATTGTAATTGCTAAATTCTAGCTTAATAGTGACTATAAATGTTTCAAGCAAAATGAAATTATTAGTATTCCTTATGCTCTTTTTCACATTTTTATTTACTATTTTTGTAATTAAGAACAAAAAAAATTTCAAAAATAAAAGTGAATTTCAAAATTAACTTTTGAAATTGCTAAAGAATTGCTAAATCTTCACTTACTTAATGAAGAACAAAATCTTTACTTAATGGAGAACAAAATCATCCGTTGGAATCAGAAACCTAATTTCTTTGAAAACCCAGCTTTGACAACAACACAGTATTCTAATTTTAGGCCAGAAGTTATGACATTTACATTCATCAGTGCCTACCCTGTGACTTAAGGAAAAAATGAGAATTAAAAAACAGAAACAATAGAAATGCAAGCACCAAAACCAGAAAGCTTCTGATTAAATGTAAGATCTTAATATTTAGGTTAGTTTTATGAAAGGCATCTATTTGGTCTTCCTGTATTCATTATATAACATCATATGTAAATAGAATAGCTATGTTATAACCTATCACAAAAAGCACCTTTTCAAGTGAGCTCCCTTAATGGAAAATGGCAAGGGTCCTCTAAGTCTTTTCCCAACTATAGTTGCCATTATCAACTCATTTCCAAGGCACAAACAACCATAATAAAAGATTTCTTGAAATGGACCTCCATCAGCATCGCCATTCATTCAATAAATATTTACTGAGCTCCTACTATATGCTCCAACAGTGCCTACCACTGGGTGTTCTAGGCACTGGAAATTCAACAGTAATCAAAATACCCAAGGTCTCGCCTCAGGAAGCCTATATTCTAGGAGTTGCTTGACCACATTCATTACTTTAACTGTGATGAATGAGAAGAGTCTGCAAATGTTGGGAAGAAATAATGAGTAAAATAAAAAAGGATTGAGGAAGCACAAAGAGCCTAAAAAAGCAACTTGCCCAGGCTGGGATTCCAGTTTGCTGAGAGAAAAGAATGCTCCTATCTACACAGTTACAAGTTTCTAATTTAGAGGTGGGGAGTGGGAGGTTGGGAGGCTGGAGTTAAACTAAATTGCTCTGATTACATACCACTAAAAAGAGTTCTAAATATTTATTTAAATTTTCAATGCAATACATTTTTATTGGGTTTTACCTCTGGAGTGGCTCGAAGATAAATGATTCCATCCAATTCAAGGCTTTGGCCAAACTGGTTATTCATCCAGTCATGCCAGTCTTGATAAATTGTCCACTCTGTTTCATTCATGCATTCAGATTCATACAAATTAGATGCAAAAATATACCTAAAAGAGAGTCTTCATCAACACATGTATCATTTAAAAAAAAAAAACAAAGAAATAAAAAAGAAAACACGAACATGAAACATTCTCCTAAATCCAGTGGCACATAGTGCCATGGAAAGCAGAAAAAGACAGGAGTCTTTCCATCATGTTTTTGGCCAATGGTTCTCAAAATATGGAGTGAGGACCCCATGAGTCCCCAAGATATTCTAAGGGGTTCTGTGAGAGGCCAGATTACTTCATATACCAATATACTTCAAACAAACAAACATATCATAACAGATTAAATACAGAAGCATAAATAAAAATCCAGCTCTTTTAATAAGTGAGGCATTGAAGATATCTGCAAAAATGTAAAGCAATGATACTTTTCTAGCTTTTTATTTTAGAAAATATAACTTTTTGTGAAGTGTATTTATATTAATATGTAATGAATTTATTATTGCTAGTTTTAAATCATTTTTGTGCATCTCAGTTTCTAGTAACGCAAGTATCAATAGGACAAGCTCTTTGGATGCCTCGATAGTTATTAAGAACTGAAAAGGGTCCTGAGATCAAAAAGTCTGAGAACCTCTGTTCTGAGCTAACTTTGGAGGTCAAAAGAATCCTAGCATAAGTAGGGCAATTCTAAGGCCCCTTAGAGACTTTTATCTACTTGCTCCAGGTAAGAGTCTAGGATATAGATCCAGATTTAACCAGAGCAGATGAGAATTTTAAAAAGGTTAGAGGGAAAAACAACTTCTCTGCAAATTTAAATGAGATGGGCACCACCATATTCCCAACAGTTTCTATGGAAGCTGGGGATTAATAAATGCAGTAACTTCCCTAATGCCATTAGTACCAGACTGCTGAGGGATTTAAATATCATTTTCCATCTTAAATCCCCAACTCAGCCATTCATATTACTAATTCCCAGGAAACATTAAAAAAAAAAAAAAAAAAGAAAGAAAAGAAAAAGAAAAAGTCCAGTTCTAAGATAAAAACTTCAAATGGCCACGTATAAGCCATTTATACATACCTGTCACTATACACAGATCGTTCAAAAAGTAATACAGGTTTCTCTGCATCTTTGAGCTTGCCATTGAGAGAGGCAAGCTGAGCTCTTATTCGACTGAGACAGGCATATGTTTGGAAGGTAAAAGACCATCGTTCAGGTTTCTCATACATCATCTGAAGAACATTCCCACCATTTTTCTGAGACGTTGTAAGTTCCTATTTTGAATGTGCAAAAAGAAAAGCAAAATTAATTATAGGGCTATTTTAATTTTTTAAGGCTAAAAAAGAAAAGTCAGATAAATAAATGCAATCATGATTAGCAAAACCAAGATGATTAAGTTCCCTTTCTCATACTCTTTCCCAATATATTTTTCAGATTGTCTGAGGTCTGGAAAAATCCTTAGATCTTTCTCACAAGAGGTTACAAACTAATAACCTATGGAAGAAATCCTTGTTTGGTCCAAAAGGCCTTTTTAAAACTTTGACTTAGTTTGTCAGTATTATTGTCAGTATTTAAAAGCTAAATAATTTCACATAAAATATTTGGATTTACATCTTCTTTTTCTTTTTTTTTTTTTGAGAGGGAGTCTTGCTCTGTCTCCCAGGCTGGAATGCAGTGGCACAATCTCAGCTCACTGCAACCTCCACCTACTGGGTTCAAGCAATTCTCCTGCCTCATTCTCCCGAGCAGCTGGGACTACAGGCGCATGCCAGCCCGACTAATTTTTTGTATTTTTAGTAGAGATGGGGTTTCACCGTGTTGGCAAGGATGGTCTTGATCTCCTGACCTCATGATCCGCCCGCCTTGGCCTCCCAAAGTGCTGGGATTACATCTTCTTTTTAAAAATGAAAAAAAACAAGCAGTACCGTGCCCATATTCCCTCTTGGCAAAAATCAGCTAGAGTCAAGTCACAGATGCCTCCTTTAGATGGGATATATGCTCTCCAGCTTATTAACCCCCACCATTCCCAGATGATTTTCAGAACAGGCCTGATACATTCATTTGGCTGTCTGGTACCTTTAGGCATTGGTATTTGTAACCCTCCAATCTTCTAATATAATAGAATAGTTCCTCCCCCAGATTTTGTAATTCAATACTCTTATTGTTAGAACCACATTTTCCATGTTGAGGAAAAATACAAATGTAAATTTTAAAATTAAGTAAAAACTCTTACCATCTTTTATCTGAGTTAGAACTAGCATCTGGAAACATGAATTATTTTTCTCTTTCTGTAAAGTTTTCCTAGTTCTGTCCACCAAAACGCCTACAAACAGTGAGAACCTTGTAGGAATATACAAAAATATCACCCAGATTATAATCTCTAAATACCATTTCCCACTGAAAGGAATTAGAATTCTGATTCTAAATCTGGGGAAGAAAATATACAGAATGAGCTTCATCTTGTATATTTTAGGAAACTATTACAGACCACTGGGATTGTGCCAAGGACACAAGAGCCAACATAAATAAAGCTGCCACTGGTCAAACAAAGAATTTGAACATCGAAAATGAATGGGAGGCAAAAATCCATGAGCTTATAATACTAAAAACAACAACAACAACAAACCTCTAGTCATGTTTTGAGGCTCCTAAGGCACAAATTATTCTGGGAATGTGTAGGTGAAAAGAAAAAAAAGTCCCATTTTATTTTGGCCTTTCCTGTATAAATACTTTCAGGGTAATAAAGTGGTATATGAAGAAGAGGTCTTCATTCCTGAAGAATCTCAGCCAATAAATCTAGAAGGCTGGAGAAGGAATATCACCTTTTACAACACCTACTAATATACTGCAGTGAGGCAACAATTAGCAATAGATGCTATTATTAAAGTTAATTGGGAATTTTGTAACGGATGAATCAAGCTGACAAAACCTAAACTGTTTGATTTTAACATCACAAAACATATCTTTTTGATGTAAAGAAATACACATCACCAACTAGGAATCTTGCCAAAAAAGAATTGAAAGTAAATCTAATCAAGTCTGTCTCTACCTGTAAATTTACTGGAAATACAGAGAACTGAAAAACATGTTAAATTTTACCAGAGATACACTCAGCCAAAACCAGAATGAGGAAAATTATGTAGAACAAATGACCCTGTTTCTTCAACAAATAAATTATAAAGGAAGAAAAGGAAGAGACAACCTAGATTAAAATTTAAAAGCATATCAAGGCTGGGCCGGGTGGTTCACGCCTGTAATCCCAACACTTTGGGAGGCCGAGGCAGGCAGGTCACCTGAGGTCAGGAGTTCAAGATCAGCCTGGCCAACATGGTGAAACCCTGTCTCTACCAAAATTATAAAAAATTAGCCAGGCATGGTGGCACGCACCTGTAATCCTAGCTACTCGGGAGGCTAAGGCAGGAGAATCATTTGAACTGGGGAGGCAGAGGTTGCAGTGAGCTGAGATCGTGCACTACACTCCCGCCTGGGTAACAGAGCAAGACTCCATCTCAGAAAAATAAATTAATAAAAATAAAAAATAAATAAAAGGCATATCAACCACCAAATGTAACGTGTGTGAACCTTGTTTGGTTCTTAATTTCAAAAAATTATGAAAACATTATTAGACAATGGGGAAATATGAACACAGACCGGATAAGATGATAAAAAGAATTATTAATCTTTTAGATGATATTTTTTAAAAGAC